CTCCTATAAGCGATTTGGAAGCACTTGCTACAACGAGCCTTAAGCCGATTAAGCTGTACTGGAAGAGTGAGTGACGGGTTTTTATTAAGACGCTACTGACACTGATACCCCCATAAAACACGTTCCCAACCCTTCCAATATCCTTATCATCCTCTGGGAGCTCTTACGAGACAGTATGGGTCGAACTTGATGGCCTCAAGCAGAAACCCTACACTGATGTCAACCGAAATGGCCGCGTCCCCCCCCCAAATTAAGGATCCCAACCACAACATCGCGTAAGCCCCTCAGCCAACATCCTCATGCCTTGCCGTCTCACATCAAGCTTACCTTTCCCGTTATTAATACTTGGTCGACACTTACAAGGATAACAAGATTTCGTGCAGCAGCTTCCCTAAGAAGTACTTAACGCAGCAGTGTTTTGGTCAAGCCGCCTGGTGAGTTTTTCGGGTTGCAGGTCGTCCAGCTTGGGCCTCAGTGCCTGAATATCTCTAAAGGACCACCCGATAACATCCATTACCGGGATAATCTGATGCTACACAGGTTCCAACCTCGTCCACCAAGGAATATACGGCGAGTCCCCGGAGTAGGCCAAGGCGCTCGACGGCGTGCTGGCCAAGTCGGCGTGGCTTGTCGGCGACAAGTGCACCTATGCCGATCTGGCCTTCACCCATGTGGAATATACAGGTGGCTTTCTTTATGGGTAGCCGCACCGGAGAACATGCGTGGAAACCGGATGAGTTTCTGCACTTCACCAAGTGGCAAAACGCTTGCTTGAGCCGTGACAGCGTCAAAAAATTGTGGTGTTTTGAGCGACAAGGAGGTTAAAAGTCAGTGAGCACACGTGTGTGACGGAGTGATATCTTAGCCCGGGTGGAGGAATGACTTACGCTGCATCTGTTGGTTGTATTCAGCAATCTATCAGCTTACTTAGTATTAAAGGAGGGTTAAGATGGCGCACTACAGCACCCCCTTCCTTGTAAGCTGAGTACTTACCTACAGCTAGGTATTGTACAGCTATTATCGCAGTTGTTATCCCGTCTGCAAGCAGGATGCAGCACTCTCATCTACCCGGCTAAGGCACAACAACCGTAATTAAGAATAGCTTCATTTTCGGAAGCGCCGGCGGTATTGGGGCCGCCCGGCATACATAGGTACATAGATGCAGTCCCTGTCATATGCCATGCAAACAGCACCCAAAACCCGACACCTCCCTTATTTAGGGATATCCCTAGACATCCGCTCGCCCTACTAGCCTATGAGAATGTCTCGATAACCTGGATTCCTACGCTCTTGTTATAAAGCCCCGTATGACCTTGATAAGAGATGGTTGTGGGGGTGTAGACAATATGGGATGTAGACGTACTTAGATTAGTAGTATGGATTTGTCCCTCATATTACATTAGTAGCAGCTTTGCGAGCAACTCGCCGATCGCAAAGACGTCTTTGTGTTGGATCCGTAATTATGCGGCCGTACCTGGTCCCCCAACATGCACAAAGACAGCCGTTGTATACCAAGACATGCTCCCACCCTCCCACATCCCACACCCCATATCTCATATCCATCGCCTTCTCGCCACGCCGCCACGCCGCCACGATGAACACATCCGCCGTGGCTCCGCTGCCGTTCTGCCTCAAGTATTTCACCGGCTTCACCTCAGCCACAGTCGCGACCTTCAACACCGATGGGTTCACCAATCCTGTCGTCGGCCCATCCACCGGGGCTGGATCGACCTGCATTTCTGGCGACGTCACGGTATCTATCAATGCACCCGGGACCAAACTTCTCTACACGGCACCTCCAGATCAGGTGGCCGTAACACAGTCACTTGTCGAGTTGTTGCAGGTGAACTCAACCTTCGCCGCTAATGCAGCGGCTGGTGGGCCCAGTATTATCGCTGGCGATTATAGCATCTTCGTCAAGCTCTGCCTCCCTAGTGATCCCGACAGCCTGGCCCGGGTCAAGACGGTGCAGCTGCTAACACATGGAGCCACTCTTGACCATATCTACTGGGACATTGCCCCGGGTTACAGTTACGTCGACGTCGCTGCGGCAGCAGGCTACGCAACGCTCTCCTACGACCAGCTGGGTGTCGGTAATTCCGACCACCCCGATCCCATCCAGGTCGTGCAGGCAACCGCCCAGGTCGCCGTCACGCACGAGCTAGTTAGGCTGCTCCGGGGGGGGGGGGGGGGCAGGTTGGGTGGGTACCGCTTCGACAAGGTCGTGGGCGTCGGGCACAGCGCGGGAAGCACGCTGACCCAGGGCATTACCACAAAATACCCGCAGGACTTGGACGCCGTGATCCTGTCGGGTACCAGCGCCAGCGCTGCCTCGGTCCCACTGAGCATCGCGGCTTTCAACTTTATTAACGCAAAAACAGACGCGGCACCCCGGTTCAGGCGCATGCCGGCGGGCTACCTGACGCAGCAGTCGGCCGCCGGCGTCCAGTTTGCCTTCTACCGGCACCCAAACTTCGACGAGACCGCGTTCCGCCGACAGTTCGCCAACAAGCAGACGAACACGCTGGGTGTCCTGCTCACGATGGGCGGCATCGTTGCGCCGTCGACAGAGTTCAGTGGGCCGGTCGACATCGTCAACGGTCAGCACGACCTCGTCTTCTGTGGTGGCGACTGTCTCTACCCGCAGGACCAGAACGCCGCGACCCTGTCGATATTCTATCCGGCGGCATCGCGTGGAAGTCGGACGTATATTGCGACGGGTGCCGGACATTCGATTGCCGCCCACAAGACCGGGCCGAATAGCTTTAGGCAGATGGTCCAGTTCCTACGGTCAAACAACCTGTAGCTACTCTAGCAAACAATAAACATGCATCGCATGCAAAGAGAAAGACGAAGGCAATGCCAGCCAGAATCTCCTAGTTCGCATGAGTTGCCAAGGTCAACAGGTGCAGGGTGGCGGGCTAGGCCCAACAACTAGGATCACCTACGGTGTAGTTGAACAAATGATAGTGAGAGTGAAGTATGTGAAGTCCGACGTTTGAACTCTAAAATGCTGTGTATTCGTCCAAATGCATTGCAGCTGCAGGAGGATATATCCCTGCGAGGAGTTTTCTGTCTTTCTTTCCTTACCACCCCCCGCCCTGTCCTATAAACTGTCGCTCAATGCTTTATTCCTTCTAAACGCTTACCATAATTTCAACTAGGAAACAACAGTCAATAATCAGTCAACCGATAGTAAATTAATAGTCTATCAGGCGTTAAACGTTAATATAACTGTTGATCTAACAGTTTAAAATTATTTAAACCGTTTAAATCTGTAAAGCATTAAGCGACAGATTATGGAACCTAGTACAATTTGGTACGGTTCTTTCGCTGAAAATACTACGTAGAAACATTGGGGCCGTTTAAGAGCTCGCAGAAATGCGTAGTTGGGGTAATGCTTGTCGATCAGGCTGATCAGCATATCCATGGGTGCATGCACGCATACAGGATAGTAGCTGCACGATAGCATCTTGACTTGTGATGACGAGAATAGATGATTCCGTCCCGACCCGCGACTTCGCTTTTTGGGTAGGGGCGAAACTCGCCCACGGAGTGCACCGAGACCGAGCTCATGAGGGGGTCTCGTATCGAGCAATTGCAAGGGGTGCGGATGCTACGCTACAAAGTGTCTCGGCTTCTAGACTTCAAATGTCTCCTCGCACGCTGGCCAAAGTATTCGACCACACACTACCTACCGGCGAATTCTCGACCTATCTATGGTGATGAAATGGAATTCCATCACGAGCTGACGTAAGACAAGTCTCCAGATACGGGAACAGCGATCTCCTGAGGCGGTGGAATACCTACCTGGTAATTGCTGACGCTTGCCTGACCCATCACGAGAAACGGGGCAGCTCCGTAAGGCGAGCATCTCGTCTACGTACGGGGACCCGGCCTGGACGATCCGCATGCCCATGGCAGCCCCCGGGTTACCGGGTATAATGGGTTCTGGACAGGCTGGACTGCTCGGGATTAATGAGGAGGATCTCGTCCCCTAACCTCAGGTCGGAAATGACTTTTCATGCCCGGTCGACTGACTGCCGTGTATTTAAAAAGGCAGCAAGCCAGCCATCTCGGGTCTGCGAGGCGACGAGGCAATCAATCACCCAGGTTTCTTCCATCTCGAATTGAGAGGTACTCGCACACCCATAATAAGAGCAAAACCTAACCGCCAAATCTCGGCCCCGCAACGTGTATCACGCACGGCGAAAAGCTTCAGAAAAGAAAACACCCCGCCCACCTCTCTACACGTCCACGTCCACGTGCATCTCCCTACCTCTATTCCATCATCCACTCAGCGATCCACGTCGGACGCCACCCGACGATGCGCACCCAAGCACTGCTCGCACTGGGGCTGGCGCTGGCGCCGGTAGTCCTCTCGGCGGCGGCGGACTGGCCGTCGTGCGACGCCGGGTGCAAGTCGTGCGGGCTGTACTGCAACGAGGGGTGCGCGGCGCCGCTCGACCTGGGCGAGTGCAACCGCTGCCTGTACTGCCGGCGCGAGTCGTCGAGCTGCGGGTTCGTGACGATCCAGTGGACGTCGGACCCGCCGGACCCGGCGTACTGCGCCCTGTGCTCGGCGGGCTGCCACTGCCGCATCGACGCGAGGTGCTACGACGACGACTCGCCGCCGCCCCCGGGGAGCAGCAGCAGCAGTGTCCCGCCCGCTGCCGCGACGGCGGGGGTCAAGGCATGAATGTGATTGTGAGGACCCCGGGGGGGAGGGGGCTTGGGGGATAGGCCGCTTTGTGGGAGTAGACTACGAACACGAGAGGGGGTGGGAGAAGGGTGGGAGAAGGGTGGGAGAAGGGTGAGATGAGAGAGAGATACCTACCTATGTAGGCTTGGATGAACGGGCATTTGTTTTGGGGCTTGTCTTGTGTGGAAATAAGTCAATCCCACCTAGCCTAGCTAGCTCAGATTACGCCTACCTGGACGTGGAGGGTGCGTGTGGCCACGACATTAACGTTCAATAAAATGGAGAGGATCATCAGGACGACCGGTTGGCGCAATGGTAGCGTATAGACCTCCTACACATCCACCAATAAACTTGGTTGTAGAGGTCAGTCTAGGGTTGCGGGTTCGAGTCCCGTGCTGGTCGTTTCATTTGCCCGCTATTCCAGTAGTGGCATTGTTTTACCTTTTTCGTTTTGTGTGGTTGTAACTAACTACCTACTCTGAGCAGGTACTTATCTAGGTTAGGTCATTACCTTCCTTACCTTACTTAATACGGTAAGTACCTAAGGTGGGGGAAGGCAAGGGCGAGGGCGAGGGAGATGGGGGTGGGGGTTCTGCAGCTACCGGTATCTGGATTTCACAAAGACCTGCACGCGATCGCGCCCAGGCTCGAACCAATCTTCCATGACAACCAACACACACATGCTTCTTCAACCACATCATTCCATGCGCAGTAACGTAACCTCGACCTTACTACGTACCGTGGCTCTCTTTACGACACACCCGCCGAGATTACGTTTACCCTCTTTTGCATTCTAGCTGCTACACCCTACCGCGTCGTAGAACGCACCGGCTACTTTCCAGTCGCATCCATCACGCATCCCGCATCGACCGAGTATTGCTGGCTTTCCTCCCTCTATTCTGGGACCTACAGGACCCTCGCGTAGAAGCTGGAACATGTCCATTGCTCGGTAGTAACTAGGTTTTCCTAGCCACCGACAGTCGATTGGAGCTGCTCCCCTTGTTGCCGCCCGCCTTCGTCCCGTCACCATGGCTACCAGCGACGAGCTGCCCAAGAGGCAGATCACGCCTGTCCCGCTTCCCGTGCTTCCCATATCCGCCATCCCCCAAAAGCGCGCTCTCGAGGACGACCATGCGCCGCCCATCCCATCGCCGCTCAACCCGAACCCAACCCCGACTGTGAACGCAAATCCGAACCCGAACGCAAATCCGAGCTCAAATCAGAACTCGAACCCGAACCCGAACCAGCAAGCTCACGACGACCTGGGGCCTATGGCCCGCGACAAGCCGACGAGGAACAAGAAGGACTCCCTGAAGAAGCGCGAGTCCAAGGCCGCGGCTACGTCCGGTGCTGGCGCCGGCGGTGGTATCGCCGACAGCTTGCGGGCGACGCCAGACCCCAAGGCGAAGGACCCCGTGCCCAGCGAGTCGTCGCCCCTGCGATACAAGCTAGCCCCTCCCAAACCCTCCGACTTCGATCCTGCCCGGAGCCCTATATTCACTCATCATCATGAGGTCCCCGCCCCCGACGGCTCTATGCTCCAATTCTACGAGACCGGGGAACAGTGAGTGGCTCCCTGGCCTCTCTATTTCACGCATACGTGCCCTATGTACATGCTAATCTGCCTCGCCAGCGTGTATAATAAGAAAAGTTACCACTACCTTCACTGTATCGCCGACCCCGGCTTTCCCTCCTCCTTTTACTATCGTCAGACCGAGCCGGAACCTTATGGTCCCCACATCAGCTTCGAGGATGCCGCCACGCACATGTACTTCGATCAGTCGGGGCAGCACATCACGACAGACAAGGGATTCCGTATGGCCAGGGCCAACGTCGCCGTACGCGAGGGAACGTGGTACTGGGAATGCAAGGTGACGAGGGGGATTCTGAATGGCGAGAGCGGACCAAAGAACACGAGTACTGCCAAGGACGCCGCGTACCAGCCAGAGTCGCATGGCCATGTACGCATAGGGTTTGCCAGGCGGGAGGCTTCATTAGATGCCCCCGTTGGATTCGATGCCTACAGCTACGGCTTAAGGGACGTTGCTGGTCAGAAGGTGCACATGTCTCGCCCAAAGGATTTCTTCCCCCCTGGCGAGGATGTGAGAGAAGGCGATGTAATTGGCCTAGAGATCCGACTACCATCTGAGCATCTACACAGAAAGATCGTCCAGGGACAGTACAACCCTGCCGTCGACCTGCAAGAGGAGGAAGAGCCCACGATTGAGGCCACTAATATCGTTCGAGACCGGATACCTATCCGATTTAAGGCGCATATCTACTTTGAGAAAATCGATTATCACACAACCAAGGAGTTGGAAGACTTGGCCAACCCATCGCCGGTGGGCCCGTCCGGCAACGCCAGCAGCCGTCCGGTGGAGAAGCCGAACCCCCACCATGCCGTCCCCGCTCTACGGACGTTACCCGATTCCTATATCAAGGTGTATAAGAACGGTGTCCTCATGGGCACCGCATTCACCGATCTCTTTGCTTTCCTCCCGCCTGCCTCGAAACCCCAGGTGCAAGTGGGCGCACGCGAGGGCAAAGATGACGGCATGCTCGGATACTATCCGGCCGTCAGCGTATTCCGCGGCGGCGCGGTCGAGACCAACTTCGGACCCGACTTTTGGTATCCGCCGCCCGGCTATGCCGACCCACGCAACGACGGGGATGTGATGGACGTGGACGAGGACACGGTGCGCGTGGGCACGCCGCAGCAGAAGAAGCTGGATCGGACGCGCGCCGTCGCCGACCGCTACGACGAGCAGATCGTCGAGGACATCGTCGCCGACGTTGTGGACGAGGTGGACTTCTGGATGCAGGACGGCGCGCGCGTGCTCGACCGCACCGGCGGCCGTGACGAGAAGGCCGAGCCGGTCGGCATCGCGCCCGCGAGCGAGGAAATCAAGGAGCTGGTTCAGGATGACTAGATGCGCGATCCCTTTGCCGCTGCTTGGGGTATTTTCGACGATTGGGTATTTTGAGGGTACCAATCTCGGGTATGATGCTGTGAAAAAAACACATATGCGGACATTAGTTCTACGCCGACTTGCGCGCTTCTGCATCTTGTTATCATGGGTATTGGTAAGTGGTATACACAAATGCAGGTATGCATTCAATCAAGACCATGCCATCCATATTATTTCCAGGCTAGCAAGACAAGTATCAATTAAACAATTAGAATTCGATGACACCGTCCCATTCATCGTCTGATCTAGTCTCTTGATGCACTAAAATACCTAGTTAGCTAAGTTAAGTATTAACTTGTTTTATCCTATTCCCTACTAGAATGAAAACAACTGATATATAAGTATATATAATGTCCGGATGAGTCTCTCCTTCAAAAGTGACCTACATTGAGGATTTTGTTGATTTGTCCAAAAAAAAAAATCATTTTTCGAGAGAAAATAAAGGAAAGGGGGAAAAGGAACCCGGGTATCGTCTCATCGTCAATCATCGTCATCGCCATGTAAAACGCAAGGCCGCCCCTGGCCAATTAATCCATCCGTCCATGGTTAATTATTCCATCAGCCGTTTCAAAAAGAAAAAATAACAAACCATCACTCCCCTCTCCCTCAAAAAAGTAACCGAACATATTCTAACCCCCGAGCCCCAGCCAGCCGCAAATTACGACCGGGCGCCCGCCGTCTCGGGCGCGGCGAGCATAGGGTCGTCCGGCAGCTCCTCGACCCTCGCCCGCCCCTCGATCGTGTTGTCGTCCGTCGTCGTCCGCCCCTCGGCTCTGGCGGCGGCCTCCTCGGCCTCCTCGGCCTCGCGCTCGAGTCGCACCTCGCGGCCGCGCCTGTAGCAGTACCAGAGCATGGAGAGCAGCAGGAAGACGGCGAGGCTCCAGAGGACGTTGGTGCCGACGAAGGCGGGGAAGCGTGTCTTGAGGGCGTTGACGATGCCCTTGAGCAGCCCGACCAGCGCGCCGGGCTTCGTGACCAGGTCGTGCAGGTTGCCGGGCGTCAGGAGGCGCTTGGCGGCCCCCGCGAGGCCGCCGCCCCCCTCGGGCTTCAAGCCCTGCGCCTCGGCCGCCGCGGCCAGGAGCTCCGGCGCCAGGCTCGAGGTGAGCTTGTCCGGCAGCTGGGCGACGAGCTTCTTGAGGCCGCGCGGCAGCTTCTCGTAGCTGCGCGCGAGCACGCCGTCGCGGTCCTCGAGCAGCGCCACCAGGTCGCCGTAGGCCGTCGGCACGCCGTTCACCAGGTCCCGCAGCACCTGCGTGAAGCGCCGCGCCATGTCGGCCGACTCGCCCGACAGCGAGAAGGCGCGGTTGTTCTTGGCCGCGACGAGGTCGAGGTCGTCAAGCACGCGCGCCATTTCCGACGTCTCGTGCGCCGCCTCGCCCCCGTCCGGAACCGCCAGGTGGCTCGGCTGCAGGCCCGACCCCGACTGCGGCCTGGAGGAGGGCACGGGCTTGCGCCGGATGGACAGGTTCCGCGAGAAGAAGGTGAACCGCTTCGGCTTGTCGCCCGGGGCCGCATCTTGAGCTCCCTTTTCCTTTCCCTTGGCGTCGACGTCCTTGGGGCCGCCCTTGCTGGCGACGCTCGAGGCGTCGCTGTCGATGTCGATCACGGGCGTCTTCACACGCGGGGGCAGCGGCGGCGGGGTCTCATCTTCATCGCCGTCGCGGGCGCTGCTGTGAGCCGAAGTGAGGCGCTCGAGAAACTTCTCGTCTTCGCGGTCGAGGACCGGCGTGCCCTCGATTGCGACGTCATCGTCGTCTTCGGCCGGGGTTGATATGATCTGGGGAGGGGGCGAGTGCGCAGGCGGTTTAGACCCGGAACCCCCTCCGGCGACTGGCTTCTCCTTTTGCTTCTCCTCTTCTTTTCCTTTCCCCTTTTCCGTCTTTTGGTTCTCGGCTGCCTTCTCCTCGCGGTGCTTCTTCACCTTCTTGTACGTGAAGTACTCGAGCATCCCGGCGTCCTGGCGATGACAGAGTCGATGTCGATGGAATCAATCGTTTGACAATGGAGGGGTTGTTGGGGGGAACTCTCACGAAGACTCTCACGAAGAGAGATGGAAATCGAGGGAGAGAGAGAGGGAGGGAGAGGGAGAGATGCAAGTCCAGCTCACGGACTAACTTAGCAAGCTCCCTTTATCGTTTCAAAGCAGTCGCATTCGAAGGAGGCCTTCCAGCTGCTTGGCGGGCTACGTCAGTGGTCGGTGGTGGCTTGCACCGCCACATCGACTCCGTAGTGGGGGTAGTGGAGCGTGGCGAAAGCTGTCAGGAACACGACCAGGCGTTAGATCTCCTCTGTCGCCACATTCTCGGGGAACGAGACACATCAACGGACGAGAAAACGGGCTGAAGTATTCCGTAGTCCTGGAGGTGATGGAAACTGTGTTGGAGATCACCATTTTTGCATGCTGTATCTAGTTCATTTTGGGGTATCAAGAAT